GGAACATGGAGAACAGAAGATAAGAACAGGGTGTCAGAGGTCTTTATATCTCCTTTACCAAAGATGGGGGCAAGTGACCCATCGGCAAGGGATATTTTCTCTTTCCCAGAGAGGAGATGATATGAACAAAAAAGGTTAGATAGGCTGGTCATATGGTCTGATGCACCGGAATCTATAATCAAAGGGAGTTTATGATTACCTGAAAATGAAGCATGATTTGCTAAGGCATATGTACCTGAGTGAGCAAAAGTCGATGAAGAGGATGTACTGCTAGAAGGGTGGGCTGAAGAAACTGTAGCTTCCAGATGATTTAGGAGCCTCCCATACTTCTCAAAGTCTAACTTCATTGTAGCCAACTACTCAATGGTTGATGTTTTCTCACTCTCCTTACTTCCCCCTTCAGGTACTGTAGCAGCATTAGCAGTCTTGAGTTTTCCCGCTTGACTGCCCTTCTTAGGATAGGTGAAGTTTCCAGCAGGTGTCCTTGGTATGCCGTGGTTTCTTGCAATATTCACACACCTTCTCCCCCTTTTCAATAGGCCCCTTAGATTTCATTCCCGCATGTGCAAAGTGTTCTGTAGGTGGAYTCTGCAAYTGAACTTGTCGTCTACTTTCCTCACTACTTATCATGGCATATGCCTGTGATAGAGTAACCTCATCTCTGGCCAAAATATTCTATCTGATAATATCAAACTCCGGGTTGAGTCCAATGAGAAACTCGAATACCCTATTTCTCTCCACCAGCTTTCTGTACATTTTAGCATCCTTTTTACTCTCCCATAGAGTAGTAGATTGCTACACTCTTCTCCCCCTGTCTCAAGTTCTTCACATCACTTTTCAATTTGTACGCTCGGGCTACATTCAGTTTCTGTGAATAAGTCTCAGTTACACTGTCCCATATCTTCTTAGTAGAAGACATCCAGAGATAGTGTTGGCTTATATGAGGTTGCATAGAGTTAACTAATCATCCTATAACGGTATAGTTCTCTTGCATCCATCTCTCAAATTCAGGATCTGTCTCTTCGGGTTTCACCTTACTGCCTGTGAGATACCCGAGTTTTCCTCTACTACAAACATAAATTTTTATAGACTGTGCCCAAGCAAGA